TCTCATCAAACTCGTGACCGAAGGACTAGCCAATCTAAAACCGCGCTGTCATGTGTGTAACAATGCCACGCCCAACTGCACTCTGCACAAAGATTTTCCAGCTAATGGACCACAATCTGTGTATCTGCAGCTTGGGAGCAATTGTTACTGGGTCAGGTTAATTACGCAATTAACCCTTCACACTGCCACCACCTCCTTTGTACAGAGAAAGAGAATACTCTGCAATATCAGCAATAACACTATGATGTTGCATAAGCGTCGGTATACCACTGTCACTGCAGGCAGAGATATACCAAAGTTTAAAACACACACACAGTAGCGCTCTTCAGAGGCAGGGGTTCTTAGTTTGCATTAAAGAGCTTTACCGAATTTACCGAAAAAGATGTAGCCTATATATATATATATATATATATATATATACACACAGAAAACAATAGCACAGTAAAGAGATAACAGAAAGACGTTTAGAGGGATAAAGTACTTGCCATCAGCCTTGGTTTAAGCAGATCAGGTTTCAGAGCCAAAAGGATGCCTGATCTCCCAAAGTTAATGTTAAAAGGGGAGAATCTTCAACTTCACTTAACTCAGCTCAGCTTTTTCTAGGAACTCAGCAGGGTGTCTCCTTAAAGCAGAGAACCAATCGCCTCATTGAGGAGGGGTGTTGGGGCGGAGACCCAAGCTAGAACCAAAAACTCTCAGTTGATGTCATGGTTCATAACTTATTCTCGGTGCATATAGCAGCCTGGCCACTAGTAGAGTAATATGCAGACGCATCTGCTGAACGGTTAGGTATGAAATATGACATACCTGCTTGGATGGTTGAGATATAATTTTCTGCTCTCTTGGATATGCCAGCTAGGGGGTGTAATATATCAGGCGACCTGTATTAAAGTGAGCCGTCCGAATATGTGCTCCATGTTTATGTAATTATGTCCTATTTGAAGATATAAAATTATATAGAAAAGTGAGTTTTTAAATGTAAGCCTGTTTTTACGACTACCTGGATTGTCTTTGAAGCTCAGTGAGGGCTTGGTTTATGGTTTTACGATCCCTTCTCCAGCAAGAGTCTCGCTGACATAGCACCAGCTAGTGGGGTTTATAGCCATGACGCCCTCCCAATGAGTTTGCTGCCTGTGATCTCTGTCATCATCCAGACCACATGTCACTCAACAGAGAGGGAGGGGGGATATCAGAGGAATCTGATTTGGGAAAGAGAGATACAAGATGGAGGGGTTTGGAGCAAAATGGATGACCGCATCCATCTCTGTGTGCATGATTGCTACACCATCGCTCAGTTTAGTTTCTCTGCAAAGCAGGGATGACAAACGAAGAGATCATTAGTAAAAAGCAGCACTTTACAAATAGTAAACATAGGCACACATTTAACCCCTTGATTGCCCTAGATATTAACCCTTTCCCAGCCAGTGTCAGACACTACAGTTACAGTGTATAGTATCACTGTATTAATGTCACTGGTAATTTCAGTGGCAGTAAATTAGTTCCCTCCAACGTCAGTGTCAAGTTTGCCCGCCACACTATCACAGTATAAGCCACTGATCACTGTCATTAGTATATTAAAAAAAAAAAAAAACAAAATCCAGTATAAATACACTATAGTTTGTAGGCACTATAACTTTCTCAAACCAATCAATATTCCCTTTTGCGGATTTTTTTCTTTTTTTATCAAACATGTAGCAGAATAACCAAAATTTATGAAGAAATTAGATTTTTTTAAATGGATAGGTTTTGTGGCAGAAAGTACAAAAATATTGCTTTTTTTAAAAAATTTTTAGTGATCAAATGCCACCAAAAGAAAGCTCTATTTGTGTGAAAAATATGTATATTTTGTTTGGGTGCAGTATTGCATGACTGCACAATTACCAGTTAAAGTAGCGGTGACATATAGCAAAATGGCCTGGTCAAGAAGGGGGGTAAAATCGTCCGGAGCTTAAGTGGTTGTCTAATGTACAGTCATGGCCAAAAATATTGGCACCCCTGCTTTCTGTCAAATACAGTAATGCACAACTTTAGCCCAGAATATTGTTGCAATTACAAGTGTTTAGGCATTCTCATGTTTATTTTGCTTGTATTGGTATGACAAAAAAGTGGAGAAACAAAAATGCCAAATGACACATTTTTTGCAAAACCTCAAAAACAGACTAGACAAAATTATTGGCACCCTCAATTTAATCACTTGCCTACAGAGCACTTTTATCCCCTTCCTGCGCAGGCCAATTTTCAGCTTTCAGCACTGTTGCACTTTGAATGACAATCGCGCAGTCATACAACACTATACCCATATGAAATTTGTATCATTTTTTTACACCACCAAAAGAAAGCTCTATTTGTATCTAATCACCAATGTGTGTTTTATTTTTTGCTAAACAAACAAAAAAAAAGTTTTTCTTTGTTTCTATTATACAATCTTGCAAACAGGTAATTTTTCTCCTTCACTGATGTGCATTGATGAGGCTGCACTGATAGGCACTTTTGGGGCTACACTGACAATCAGTTCTCTGATTAGTGTAGCTGTCTCCTTTCATAGTTGCTGGCCATTGGCAGTACTTTCCTCATGCTGTGACAGCGTGAGGAAAGTACTGCCGATAACCTGCAAGTGTATTTACATGGTGATCAGCTGTGATTGGGCCTGATTACGTAGTAAAAGGCTGCTGTGCTTGGGCCTTTAATGTGTCATGTGATCAGATGTGTCCACAGGACACCGTGATCGCAGAGAGTGCTGGGTGCATGCCGCTTTTGGGCGCATTCTGCGAGGACGTTATATTATGCCCATCCAAAACTGGACAACCATACTGTAACTGTCATTTGGCTATAGCACAGTCAAGAAGTGGTTAATTTGTGGTACACACCCTTTGGAAAAAAAATAACTGAAATCAATCGCTTCCTGTAACCATCAATGAGTTTCTTAAACCTCTCTACTGGAATTCTGGACAACTCTTCTTTCGCCAACTGCTCCAGGTCTCTGATTGGAAGGGTTCCTTTTCCCAAATGCTGTTTTGAGATCTCACCACAGCTGCTCTATGGCAGGGGTGGGCAACTGTGGCCAACTGTGGCCCTCCAGCTGTTGTAGAACTACAAGTCCCATAAGGCATTGCAAAACTGACAGTTACAAGCATGACTCACAAAGGCAGAGGTATGATGGGACTTGAAGTTCACCAACAGCTGGAGGGCCACAGTTGCCCAGCCCTGCTCTATGGGACTGAGATCTGGAATCATTGCTGGTCAGTTCAGTACTCCAGCATTTGGTCTTAATCCATTTCTGGGTGCTTTGGGTCACTGTCCTGCTGTAAGACCCATGACCTCTGACAGAGACCCAACCTTCTGACACTGGGTCCTACATTGCACTGCAGAATTCTTTGGTAGACATCGTATTTCATAATTCCATGCACATGGTCAAGACATCCAGTGCCTGAAGCAGCAAAGCAGCCCCAAAACATCAGTGAACCTCCACCGTGTTTGACTGTATTCTTTTCTTTAAAAGCCTAATTTATTTTTCTGAAAACAGTAGAATGATCGGCTTTACCAAAAAAGCTGCAATTTTGTTTTGTCTGTCCACAACACATTTTGTTTCTGTGTCAGCAGTGAGGTCCTCCTGAATCTCCTACCGTAGCGCCCCTTTTCATTCAGATGGCGACCTATAGTGCGAGCTGACACAGTTATAACGTGTGCCTGAAGGTCAGCTTGAAATTTGTCTGGAAGTTGATTGTTCTTGTTGAGGTTCTTTAGCCACCATTCGAACAATCATTCCTTGCAATCTTTGATCAATTTTTCTCTTTTGTCCACATCCAGGGAGATTTGCTACAGTGTCATGGGCTGCAAATTTCTTGACAATGTTGCGCACAGTGGACACAGGAACAATAAGATAGCAGGAGATGTAACCTTGAGATTGTGCATGCTTTTCCACGATTTTTGTTCTCAAATCCTCAGACAGTTCTTTGCTGCTTTTTCTCTTCTCCATGTGACAGAGAGAGACAATAGAAAGGTTGAGTCAATTTTTCACTTTTAACTGGTTGCTGATGTGATTTCTATATTTTAAGTACCTGTTAATGGATACAGGTTTTATTGCAAATGACAGGAGCATCACAAACTTGGAATGCAATTATTTCTTAGTTTTGAGAAGGTGCCAATATTTTTGTCCATTCAGTTTCTGGGGGTTTTGTGTGAAATGTGTCAGATTTGGCTTTTTGTTTCTCCACATTTTTGTGTCATACCAAAACAAAAAAAATAAACATGAAAATGCTTAAACCTTAGTAATTGCAACAATGTTCTGGGCAAAATGGTGCATTATCTGACACAAATGCAGGGGTGTCAATATTTTTGACCATGACTGTGCGTAAATAAAAACGACAACAAAATTACCACTTTAATTACAGTTACTTCATTTATTGAATCATGTTTTAATCATATATATATAACCACAGAACACAAAGTTGTTAGTTAATATTTTGTGTGTGCAATATATATATATATATATATATATATATATATATATATATATATATATATATATATACACACACATACACACACACACACACAATACTGTATATATACACAAAGGTTCTTTTTTGTGTCTTGGCTCCTAGTGAGCCAGGTTTCAGTCACCGCATGATGTTCGCTAGAGTGCATGATACAATATAAATATGTCTTATCTGATTCTGCAGTAATAAATAAACCCATCCGTAGTGTCACCAGCGGGGCAGCCTGCCGCTTTGCTCGCTGTAAAAAAGGTCAACAAATCAAAGATCCTGATGTGCTAATAATCACCATCAACCTCCTGTTGAATTATGGCAGTAAAACTGGGCTGCCTCTAGACACAAAGTAATGTCCTCCGTCCTCACAGCACCTTTTAAAATGTTTACAGCTGCTGTAAAGTCTGGCTGCAGCGTGCCCGTGTGGTAGTGTTATGGGGCATGACTGCTTTCTTTTTGGCAGCAGTAGAGAATGTGATTATGGCAGCTAAACAGGCTCTGAAAATACTGCTATATTTGAAGGTTAATAAACGGTGCAAATCCAACAACGTCCTGTAAGAGAACCAATGCTCGTTGTAATGGAGGCTCCACGTCTAATGTTACATCTCTCTTCCGCAGGTTTCCTAGACTGGATTCTGTCACATTGTGGCAGTGCTTCACTTTGAGGGATTTCAGTTTTGTACAGTACTCCGCTAAAGTTCTGCAGGTGAAAAGAGAAAGTTTATCTCAATATCATTCTTAAAGAATACCATAGTTATTCTGTAAATAAATTAACTGCACTGTGAGCACAAATAGCTGGAGAGATCTATGGTATCTCTTCATGCACACAAGCATCACAAAAATACATGTGTCCGGATGTGCTTGGAACCCGTTTCTAAAAGGCATCTGAAAACATGTAATGCTTTTTTATGGCTGAAGGCACACCCAGACATCCAGCAGTGTCGAGATCTATTTTGTGTAGTTGAATTTACATAAGTAAGAAACGTGCGCATCTAGGAACTATCAGGCCTGGTTTTATGCAGCTAAATGCATAAAAATCCATGTAAATGCAGGTGAAATTGATTTCAGAAGTATAAAAGTTTATTATTGCCCAGGTATCAGTGGGAGTAAAAAAATGCTCTGGTTTCATTAATCAGGAGTACAAAAACCTTCTGCTTAGGTGGTCTTTGGCAGCAACAAATATCCTAGCGGTCAGTAAGTAGGAGGAATAGTGCCACATTTTTTTATGGCAGTGGAAGGAATAATGCCCTATTGTTGTCAGTGGAGGTAGCTGTGCCTCATTTTTAGTATCAGTGGGGGAAATATTGCCCTGTCATTGGTGTCAGTGGCAGGAATAGTGCCCCATACTTGGTGCCAGTGGGAAGAAGTGGTTAGTCATTAGTGGCAGTAAGAGAAATAGTGCCTCATTAGTGTCAATGTCCCATGATTGGTGCCAATGGGAGGAACTGTGTCAGTCGGAGGAATAGAGTCTCAATAGTGTCAGTGGGGAGGAATAGTAGGACCCATTGTTGGTGCCACTGAAAGGAATAGTGCCTCATTTTTGGTGTCAGTAGGAGGTATAGGACCCTAATTTTAGTTTCAGTGGTAAGAATGGTGTCCCATCGTTGGTGTCAGTGGAGGAATAGCGCCCCATTATTACCAGCTGGAGTAACAGTGTTTTTTTTTAATGGTTTCTGCGGGAGGAATATTGCCTCACTGTTAAGAGTCAGCAGGGGGATAAGTGCCCTATTTTTGGTGTCAGGGGAAGAAGAATCACCTGTCATTGGTGCCAGGGGGAGGCATAGTGTCCTATCATTGTTGTCAATGGAATGATGCCTTATCACTGGAGATTTGGACAGCCCCCAACATAAGTGTTCAGTGGTCTGTGAGAGTTCAGTGTCTTGCACTGCCCCTCTGCTGGCCTGAAGCCTTAACAGCTGGAAATATACAGGCACAGCTGGGCAGATCACGCTATCCAACACTGGAGAACTGTGGCGGTTGCTGGAATGCACAGTTGTTAGCACTTATTGCAACTCTACATGCAGTGGTTCTAGCATTCAATGAGAAGGGTGCTTACAAGGGGCCTTCTCATTTCAGAGGCCTTGCAAGCAGTAGGCCATCAATGGAGAACTTCTAATATATGGAATTTACAATGAGGTAAGATCAAACAGCTTGTTGACATATAAACTGATGGTTCTCAGGTACAGAATTATAGTGGCCCCACATTAGTAGTACAGGTTAAAAATGTAACACTACATAATTTTTAATCATTCTAATGAGCTATATAAATAGACAATTCTCCTAGGGAGAAGCACTGGAATTTTATGTCTACCTTTCTTGTGATTATTTTTTAATGATATTCCAAAACTGCACAGTAAGCAGAGAAGAAAGATTTTGCCTGCAGCTCCCGGCTTGTTGTCACTGGGTAGAAATCATCTACGGTGCTGCTGCAAGAATGAAACTGCTTAATAAATGTAATAAGGCTATTAAATGTTTTTCAGCTTGGTGCTTATAGGTTATTTGCTCAAGCCGTTACATAAATCATAGAGATAAATCACTAGACACCGTTATAGAGCAGTTCCTCTACTACATGCCACAGTCCTTTCCTCCTTGTAGTCAACCTGCCTAATGTGATTCTGAACAGGTTAAGGGATAGTGCAGTCAGGCAATTTACTAGGAGAGATGGGGCCCATGATTCATTTGTGAGCAAAGCACAGGAATGCTATGACCCCAGAACATATTACTAGGTCTTTTGTTTCCCAAATACCAAAACAGAATTGGGTAAAGAGCAAGGCAACCAATTAGATGTTAGGGGCTCTAGCATAGTTAGAATGTTTTGTAAGTTATCGAACATCACTATTTTTATGGCATGTTATAACAAAGTAATATACCAAAACTATACACAGCTTCCTTGATCACATGTTCATACAACTGCAAGAACAAGGAAAACTTGTTACCTAATAGATTCATTCTTCACCCGCAGACATCCTGTTAAATCAAGATGCTCCAGATCTCGGCAGTTCTTAGCAGTTTCTTCTACAGCTATATCAGTAATGTTTGCATTGACAGCTACTGAAAGACATTTCATCCGTTTGCTCTTTTGCACCAAATAACATACTGCATCATCCTTTAGCTGACGACATGCTGTCAGATCCACGGCCTCCAAATATTTACAGTGATCTGCTAGGCTGCGAAGGGAAAGGCAGTCTACCCATTCACAGTGACCAAGCCAAATTTTCTGTAAGTGAGGGCAACTGATTGATATGGCCACCAGGGACTGCCGGCTCAGCTGCACGCAACTGTTAAGATTGATATGAAGAAGATGATGGTTCTGTCCAATGACAGGAAGAAGCTCCTTGTCCGTTAACCAATCAGAACAGCTTCGTAAGTCAAGTCTTTGTAATACTGAATTGTGTTTTAGCATACTGCAAAAAGAATTTTTCGGTAATTGTGAGCCAAGCTGTAAAAATAGAAATGCTTAAGTAAATCTATATAGAAATATACTACAAACGTATGTAAAAATGCTCTCATGCATAATCAATCAGATCAACACATTATACTCAGCAGCTTTATTTACATGTCAAGTAATCTTGTAACATTAATTCTTCCTGTATAAGAAGAGCAAATTCTGCTTCTCATCTACAAGCTTACTTATCAAAGACTTCAATTTCCCCAACACTTTAGTTTGAATGCCAGGGATCAAATGCATACCCATGCTACACATAAGCGTAGCCATTTAGCTCCTGACTGTAGTTTTTGTTCAGGTGAGCTAGCTTGATTCGAAGTTTGATATTTTTTTTAACTTTCTATACATAAATGGAAAAAAAAGAAAAAAAAAAAAAAAAAACAAAAAAACTTTCCCTATTTTCCCCCTTTTCCTTTTCACAATACTGGGGAATCAGTAACAGAAATTAGTGATCTATTTAAACGAGGAGGTTTACCCTGCGAGTGTTAATTACCATCTTTTTCACTCCATAAGATGCACTTTTTCCCCAAAAAAATGGGGGGAAATGGCTGTGCGTCTTATGGAGCGAACGGGCCCGGTATTCCCCCAGTCACTGCCGCCATGTTAGAATACTGGGGCGGCTGCTCGGCTCTTCTGTGCAGCAGAACCTGTTCCTCGGTCCAGCAGTGTCCTCATCACCGCTGGCTTCACTGGCCGCCTTCTCTCCTTGGCGCTGACATCTTCAGTGTGGGTACCTGGCTGTGACAGCTTGCGGCTTCACAGCCGGGTGCCCACTGCACATGCGCGAGAAGCGCTGTGCTTTGTGAATGGCCCCGTATTAGTCACATGTCCCAGAAGACTACAGGGGGGAGGAGGGAGGACAACTTCCACTTCTGATCGCCTAGGTAATCGCAGTGGGAGTGGGTACCTGTCAAATTTCGGGTACCCGCTCCCCAAAGGTCCGCAGTCTCTGGCCATCCCCTCTACTACATCAGCAGTCTCTGGTCATCATCTCCTGTAGTACGTACGCAGTCTCTGGTTATCTCCTGTAGTACGTACGCAGTCTCTGGTCATCTTCTCCTGTAATATGTCCCCAGTCTCTGGTCATCATCTCCTGTAGTACGTCCGCAGTCTCTGGTCATCTCCTGTAGTACGTCCACAGTCTCTGGTCATCATCTCCTGTAATACGTCCCCAGTCTCTGGTCATCATCTCCTGTACTAAGTCTGCAGTCTCTGGTCATCATCTTCTGTAGTATGTCCACAGTCTCTGGTCATCATCTCCTGTAGTATGTCCGCAGTCTCTGTCATCATCTCCTGTAGTACGTCCACAGTCTCTGGTCATTTCCTGTACATGTCTGCAGTCTCTGGTCATCTCCTGTACTATGTCTGCAATCTCTGGTCTCCTGTAGTACATCCAGTCTCTGGTCATTTCCTGTACTATGTCTGCAGACTCTGGTCATTTCCAGTACTATGTATGCAGTCCATTAGTTCAGAATATTTTTTCCTCCTCCAAAAACTAGGTGCGTCTTATGGAGTGAAAAATACGGTAAGTAAAGTTAAAGAAGCAAAGAAATCCCAATAACTTTTCAAACGTACCTCATTTGAGTTTGAATGCTGTATGTTTTTCTGTTTCAGTGCTATTAGCCTCTAAAAGGTGCCACCTATATCCAGCAACACCAAGCTCCCAATGGTGTACCCCCTCCAACTTTCTGCCTTTCATCTGTGCACAAATCTCCCATATAAGGATGTAACGTTTCATGCAGCATCCATGCCCCAAATGTAGGAATTCTGTGTCTGGAGAATTTGTCTCTGAACACATATGACCTACATGTAGCCTAATAGCAAAGAAACATGGATGGCATTCAAACTCACAGAGATGCATTTAAAAGGGTATCCTAGATTGTAAGCTCCGAGGAGCAGGGCCCTCCTATCCCTTTTCTATTGTTGCTGTATTGTTTCCAGTTATATTGTAAAGCGCTGAGCAAACTGTTGGCGCTATATAAATCCTGTATTATAATAATAATGATACTAGAATTTCTTTGTGGTTTCCAGTTTAATTAACATGCACAGGTTGAACTTTTTTTTTTAGGTGATGATGCCACTTTAAGACCACCTTGGAAATTGAAAACGTGTGTGACAAAGCTTATAAAGAAATACAGGCAGCCATGCCACCTACTGCTCAGAAAATAAAAGGGCACTGTTTCTCTGAGAGAAATGTCTGACTCATACAACATCTTCATTCATGTCCTGTGACCATATAGATGATGAATATTATTATGCGGCCATCCAATTACCTGACTGAATAGTTATTGATTAAGAGAGAGTTATTCCTTCAGAAATATTACTGACTGCTTCATATTGCACAATTGACATTGTGACTGTGAAGCAAATGTGTCAATTCTATCAAGCTCATATTACTACTGTGTCCAACCTGGATAGCAGACAGAAATCCTTGGTGTAAATTTATCATAAGCAACAAAACCTATTCGGATTTGTTGACAAGACAGATCATGCATTAGAGCTAAAGAGAACAAAAAAAAACCCCAAACAAGCATGCACAATTAAAGAACTTACATTTTTAAACTTAGATTACTCAGAAATTACAAAACTGAAGCAAAAATAAGGTTAATATAAGTTATTTTTAGATCATTTTTTTCCCCAAAAAGGATAGATCTTCAATCTAGGGTGGCTTGTTTTCTAAAGTTCTTTCTGCAATATAACATACTCCTGTCTCTTATCAGAGGCATGCTGAGGTTTAGTCTGGTTATAGAGGACTGCCTAATGCTAGGCCCTCCAGGGTCATCACTCTATGCCAACAATATTAGACAAGCAGGACTTTGGTTCTTGCATTCTTCTCCATAGGTTTGGAAGATGCCCATGTGCGATAAGCACCTCCAACCACCAATCTTATTACTGTACCCATTATTACCTCCTAGCAGTTTAGATGCAGTCTAATAATAAATCACAAGCAATGCTTGAAATTGGGAGCCATGTTTGTTACTCAGCTGTTTATGGCCATCTTACAGAGGAACGTCACCCTCTAAAATTAAAGATTGTAAGCTCCATGAGCAGGGCCCTCCTATTCCTTCTCTATTGGACTGTATTGTGATTGGACTGTCCCCCTTTATATTGTAAAGCACTGCGCAAACCTGTTAAAAATATTTATTATTATACAGGATTTATAGATTTAACAGGATAAGGTTTATTATATAAAAAGGCCAATACAGCATGTGCGGTTGACAAGCAAAAGAACAATAACTAGTACGGTAGATCAGTCAGTACGTTGGGTGATTACATCTGAGAGAATTGTACATAAGCATATCATCGTCAGAAGTAGGACACAGAAAGCACATAAATGCAAGCAGTGAGCATTTACATCACATCATAGAATGCATCAAAAGGAGAAACCATAAATTCCCCCCAAACAAACTGTAATGGATGGAAAAGGGAACAGGAAGGGAAGGAGGGGGAAAAAAAAAGGGAAGAGTGGAAGGAAGGGAGGGGACCAGGGGGGAAAGGAAAGGGAAGATAGGGTGTAGGAGGGTTGATAGGGAAGGGAGAAGGGGGGGGGGGGGGGTTAACAGGAAAGGGAAATTGGGAGAGAATGCCACCAAAAAATCTAGACGAAACCCCAGGAATCTATCCAAATCATCCATATTTTGTCAAACTTTCTGAGGCAATTGCGTCTTGCATAATTGAGTTTATACAAAGGTAGAACCCCATTAATGGCTGCATACCAGGAATAATATTTAATAAAAGTCAGCAGGTACAAATACTGTATCCACTAACTTTTAAGAATACGCTACTCACAAGTACTTGAGTCCAGAGGTGTCTTACCACACCTAGAGGTGTCTGCCTCACCTCACAGCTGCGGCTTCCCTGCACCACTATCTTGGAATATGGAGCCAAGATCGTGCAGCGCAGGCAGACTGGTCCAACAGCTTCCTTGGCAGTGTGACATGTCCCAGGAGTTTGCAGGCAGGGCAAGTGATGTAACTCTGAGGTGAGAAATTAGGAAATGGGAACAAATACATGCCAAAAAGGTATCTACTTCCATTAAATGAAAAAAACTTGTAAGTGTTAGGGACATGGGAGGAGGATAAGCAGCCCTTTCATATCTTTCGTAAGCCTTAAATCAAACCTTCACTCAAAATGAGAGTAGCTGGAAGATCCTAACTTTCCCTACCAAAAGTTCTTTAAAGTTACAATTCATTTTGCTATCCCATTTAAAAGTACCTGTACATTGAGGCTGCTGTAAACACTTCAGTGCTCCCTCTATCATATCACAGCTCTGTAGCAATCCCTAGATACAGTGGGGAAAGTATTTATTTGATTCCCCGGATATTTTGTAAGTTTGTCCACTTACAAAGAAATGAAGGGTCTATAATTTTTATCATAGGTGTATTTTAAATGATAGAGACAGAAAATCAAAAATCCAGAAAAAACACGATACAAATGTAATAAATTGAGTTGTAGTTGAGTGAGTAAAATAAGTATTTGATACACTACCAACCAACAATAATTCGGGCTCCCACAGACTGACTATGTGCTCATGTGGTACACAAATTAGTCCTGTCAATTTAAGAAGGTGCTCCGAACAGCAACTTGTTATGTATATAAAAGACACCTGTCCACAGAATATCTTTTTTACAATCCAATCTCACCATCATGGGCAAAAGAGACTAAAGAGCTGGCCAAGGACATTAGGGACAAGATTGTGGACCTGCACAAGGCTGGAATGGGCTATAAGACCATCAGCAAGAAGCTTTGTGAGAAGGAGACAACTGTTGAAGCGATTATTGTGATTATTCGCAAATGGAAGAAATATAAAATAACCATTAATCGCCTTCGGTGTGTAGCTCCATGCAGACTTTTGCCTCATGGGGTAAGGATGATCATGAGAAAATTGAGGGATCAGCCCAGAACTACACGGGAGGAACTTGTGAATGATCTCATGGCAGTTGGGACCACAGGTACCAAATAAACCACTGGTAACCAAGGATTCAAATCCTGCA